GTGATATATGACTCCTCGTTCTAACACAAAAGAATGTAGGGATACTGACCTATAGGAAGAATTTGGATTATTTGGGAGGGTTTTTGATATATCTGAAGATTAGGCAGAAGAATGCCCAGGTCTCATCAATTTCATCTTGGAAATTGAGTCTTGCTGAGATATTGGCGCTCATTTCCATCTTCTCTATCATAATTATCAAACCTGGGAGGTTGAACCAATCTATTTCATCTTCTGCATCGGTCCAAGCTTCAGTTAGGACTTTTTCTTTTCTTGGTACCTCAAGCTCTAAATGCTCCCATTCATCTTTTTCATTTTTAGCTTTGTGAACCATTGCAGGAATTGGATAAATTAGCCTGAAATGTTGGTATATACTAATTAATATAATGAATCAACTTGTAATATTTATCATCCTTATTTAAATCATCCAAGATATGTCCCCATTGCACAATCTCATCAATAGGAAATGGATCTTCTTTCTATATTGATGATCCTCTAATTTATTGATCAGAAGATATTTGTGCAAGGAGTTAATATTTTCCTCAAAAAAAGGAAAATTTGTTCAAGGGATTTGTCATGGGGCAAACACAGGGATACCAACTTTGTTTGGCACATATTTAAATAATTAATACTATTCCACCTTGAGCTTCTTGGTGGAGGAATATTTCCCCAAATTTATTTTCCATGCAACTATTTTTTTTCCTTCAAAAAAATAATTTTTTCTCTATAGGTATAAAATTGTTGAAATAATGAGGTATAGTTAAAGAAATCGGCTGAATTCTCCCTCCCACACTTTGTTGCGAAAATATGTGGTTTATGGGCTGACACTTTTGGATTTTAAGGGAACTAGGAGTAAAAACTATACACTAAAAGATAGAGGATAGAGGGTCAGAAACGTAACTTAAAGGCTATAATACCAAGAGAGGAGGTGAGGGGGTGTTTTTGCTTTTGGGTTGTGGGTGGGTGGGTGGGGGCCGGAGGGGTTGTTCTTCAACCCTCCACTCTCTCTCTTCTCGGGTGTCTCTCTACAAAAATAAATAAATAAATCCGGATTTTGAAATTCTCAACCCTAGTCCATTTGTTTTATAATTCTAGGGGTTCAAGCTGAATGATCATTGGATTTCATGATAGCCAAAACATAATATCCATATTTTTTTCTAAAAGATTAATGTATTATTGTAAAAAACAATTAGACTTTATTAGAAAGCAAGAAAATGATATCTATATAAGAGTTCAAAGAAGACATAATATCCATCCTTTTTGAGAGTCACTCATTTGGAGGTTATGGGAATGGATATCTAATATAAAAATGGGTATCCAAGAGAGAGAGACATGACCTCCGAGAGAGAGGCAGTATTCTCATGAGTTTTTGTGTTGGTATGACTTTCACTTCTAAAGAGAAAATCTCTCGGTTGCTCTCGAGGTTATCTTTCCGGTCGGTATTATGGTGGGAAAGAAGGCATTGATCGACGGTGTTGCTCGGTCAAGAGAGTGAATTTAGAAAGGAAGATCGGTGAATGTCTTTTACCTATGTTTAGGATAGGTATTATATCTTGTAAACCAAAACTGTAATAGTAGATTTCTATTTGCCTAAGCTGAGGGGTAAACCACATAAATTGTGTGTTGTTGTGGTGTGATTTTTATGTTTGTTTTATTTTTTGCACTCAATTTATAGTTGTGTTCATCTACTTTGCATTTAGTCAATCATATACACGATCTTGGGTGGGATCTTGGTATTTGGGATTGATAGGCGGTGTTGCTCGGTCAGAAGAGCGAGTTTTACCGATGTTTAGAGATAAGTATTATCTCTTGTAAACCAAAACTGTAATAGTAGATTTCTATTTGCCTAAGCTGAGGGGTGAACAACGGAAATTGTGTGTTGTTGTTGTATGATTTTTATATTTGCTTTATTTCTTGCACTCGATTTATAGTTATGTTCATCTACTTTGCATTTAGTCAATCATGTATACAATCTTGGGTGGGATCCCAGCATTTGGGATTGATCGACAGTGTGGCTCGGTCAGGAGAGCGAGTTTATAAAGGAAGATCGGTGAATGCCTTTTACCGATGTTTAAAGATATGTATTATCTCTTGTAAACCAAAACTGTAATAATATATTTCTATTTGCCTAAGCTGAGGGGTGAAGCATGTAATTGTGTGCTGTTGTGGTGTGATTTTTATGTTTGCTTTATTTCTTGCCTTTGATTTATAGTTATATTTATCTACTTTGCATTTAGTCAATCATGCACACAATCTTGAGTGGGATCCCGATATTTGGAATTCCCAAGTCTGCAAGCGAGGCTTCCCAATAACTATACATTCTCTTTGGTTTCTAATTCACATTCCAAGATGAACGATCTCTTGTACAATGTTGTTTTGGGCATTTCGTGACATTGTTTTCAAGGTTTTTAAATTCAAAGGCATCCCAATGATTTAGACCCCCGTCTTTCCTTTTCTCGCTTTTGTCTTTTCGTTCATGTTGGTACTTGTAAGTGCTGAATGAGAAAGCACAGTTTTCTCTCTGCCGTACCTGTACGGGAAATGGGTTACAACCACAAAAGTTGTATTTCAAGGCCAAGGGTCAAAATAAGGGGTCTCTACATAAGTTAAGAAATCTTGGGACTTTTTTATTTGTGTATTTCATGGCCAAGGGTCAAAATAAGGGGTCTCTACATAAGTTAAGAAATCTTGGGACTTTTTTATTTGTGAAAACATTTAAGAGATAGTGTACAATGGGACTATTTATCTTTGATATGAAGTAGATAGTTTAGATATATCACAAAGTTCGAAATTTTTTTTTTTTTTTTTGAAGTTTAAGCGTGGTCAATGGAATAATTACAACCACCCAAATTTACATATAATGGTCGAAATTAATTTGACCACCTTATATTAAAGGTAAATAGTTTCATTTTATACTTTCCTAAAAGTTAATATGTAGGTTGTTATTTACTTGAATTTCTCTCTTTAAAGCCAAAAGATTATAAGTGTATATCTTCTATTACTCCCTCAAGTAAAAACAAATATAAGATAAATTTTAGGATCTCAAATTTTGGTGATTAAAGTCATCAATCCATAGACTAATTTAATAAAAACAACTTCGAGACTGTCCAAGTTTTGAAGAGCGAGTTTCAAAAAACACTACAAATTCAACTTTTTCTTTTGAAAATAATCATCTATGTCGCTCTTAAAATTTCAAAAAGTCCTTATAGGTCTTTTGACTAGGGGGAGTAGATACACAGTATGCTCCCATCTCCGCATAATATATTTGCTCTTTTATAAATCCGAGATAACCATTTACCATTAAGACCAAGTATATGTAATACAAGTTTAGTAATAATAGGAGTAGAGATGAAAAAATTAAGATTGATGGTCATGAAATACCAAAAAAAGTAGGATTTTGATATCTTGGATCGCTAGTATAGGAAAATAAAGAGATTAAAGAAGATGTCGCCTATAAAATTAGAGTTTGGTGAGCAAAGTGGAGATGTGCAACCATAATTTTATGTTATCACTACATTCCAATGAAGCTAAATATCAAGTTCTTTAGGACAACGGTAATACTAGCTTTACTCTATTGGGTTAAAATCTTGGGCGGTTAAAAAATGATATATCCCATAGAATGAGTGTTTCGGAGATGATGATATTGAGATGGATGAGTGACAAAACAAGATGAGATAAAATTCAAAATAGATATATTAAAAAAGGGAAATGATCTAATACAACAGTTGTATAGTAGTATAATACAATCACACCTCTAGAAAACCATATTTTTGGCATTTGTGTGACCCCAAAATTTGCACACACATTCTCTTCATCCTCATAATCAAATCTTATGAAAAAAATTTTCAATTTGCACTATAGATATGGTCAAAATTAGTACCCATCCAACAATGAATCTTGACCATCTATTTGGTGAATTTCAAGATCTAGGCCTTAACAAATTCCAAATCACTTTTTTCTTTTTTAGCATTATTAATCTAATGATGATAACACTATATAACAATTTTAGAAATAAAAAAATCATTTTGAGACCTATATCTAACCTTTTGAGGCCTATATCTAACCTTCTCAATAAAAATGACGGCCTATATTAATAGGGCTCTAATGAAAACTTTCTAGCAATTTTTTCAAAATTGTCTTTTTTGAGATTGTTCTTTAGAATGAAAAGAGTGTACATTTAAAAATTGGGAAAGCTTTCTATGTTTCCCTACAACATAGAAGTTCTATGTTCCCCCTACCATCTAGCCATCCATTTTTTATCAAGAGAGCCACTCACCGTTTGATCTTAGATCCGATGTCTCAAAGTATTTTTATTTTTAGTTTTTTTAATACAATTTTTTTGAATATGAAATTTGGTACGTGCCATCTTCTCATTGGAGCGCACCTATAAAAAATATTAACAATAATTTTTCGATAAAAAATAATGACCAAAATACCCCTTGAAGCTTTCAAGGGTATTTTGGTTATTTTATTTTATTGAAAATATATTTTATTTTATATTTTTTCGTTAGTGCGAGTTTAATATAGGAATGGACGGCCAAAATTTGGTGTCAAAACAATTTATAGAAAAAAAATTTAAAATAAAACAATGTAGATTTGTGACATTGTGATTGGTGCAATCTTATCCCTCCATTAAAAAATAGATGGTTGGATAAAGGGAACATAGAACTTCTATGTTGTAAGGGGAACATAGAAAGCTTTCTCTTAAAAATTTGTGTCAAACAAATTTCTCTCATATGGTTTTTGAAAATGATTGTATTATCTTACTATAAAACGGTTGTATGAAATCATTCCCCATTAAAAAAAAATGTAGATGTAGCACCAAGAGTTAATAAGATAAAAAATAGTAGACATAGGTGGGGTGTGATATAAACTCGATAAAACACATGCTTGGTTAATAAGATAAAAAATAGTAGGCTTAGGTAGGGTGTGATATAAACTCGATAAAACGCATGTTAAGAGGCGGAGTCCGTTTAAGTGAATTGAAAGACTAAAAACAACATGGAATAGGCCCAAAAGTCACAAAAGATTTGGAAAACTAAACGTAGCACTTAACAGAATAGAATGGCGGACTATGATTCGACGAAGACGACGGCACTAAGATCACCCAGCCTGGTGATGGCGGAGCTCCGTTTCCACCTCCGAACTTCAGAGAATTAGTGAGGAACGAACTCCTTTTCGCCCTCTCTCTTTCTCTCATCAGAGTCACGAGTGAGAAAGTCCTTTTCGCCATCTCTCTCTCTTTCTCTCTTCAGGCCAGCAATGGGCAGCACAGAGGACAAGGTCTACGATTCCTCGTCTCCATCGCATCCCCTTCTCTCACCAGCCCCACCACCCCCACCGCCATTACTAGAAGATAATGGCACAATCGATTCATCATCAAACACTTTCTTTACCATCGCCTACAACCATGGGCCAAGGCAATTCAAAGATCTCCCCTTCCTCATCCTCTTCCTCCTCCTCCTCCTCTCCACCTTCGCTTTTGGCATCTTCTGCATTGCTCATCACAACCCAAACTTCTCTTCTCTCTCATCCTTTTCCTATGACTCCAACACCTCCTCCTGCGTCGAATCCTCGACCGGTCTCCGCCTCTTTCTGCCGCCAGCCATTGAATCTCACGCAGGTGACCTCAAAAATGGCTTATCTCACTCCTTCACCGTTAAATCTCAGTTGGGTGGTCTCAATTATGGCTTCTCTCTCTTACGCACCATCAAACCTCCGTTGGGTTTTCTCGATAATGGCTGGCTCTCTCTAAACTCTCGCATTCTCGGAAGCCCTCTCCTCAAGGATTTGATTTGGACCTTAGTAATCACATTCTTTCTAAGCATACCTCTCGTATTGGGTCTTCTATGGGTCCTCAAGAATTACACCTGGCAAATTGTCTATGCATCTCTCCCTTTCTTCATCCTAATCCCCATCTTCTTCAATGTCTTCTGGTTTGTTGCCTGCACGCTCGGTGATAGCTGTCGAGAATCATTTCCCCTCTTTTACCGAATCCTCGTCCTTGTATTCATCTTCCTCATAATTGGTGTCATTGCTTGGATAATCTATGCAAATTGGCATCGCATTGAGCTAACTATAAGGATCATAGGAACCGCTTCAGATGCTCTAGGTCAGAACATGGGTTTGTTTGTTGTTCTTCCTAGCTTGACCCTCTTTCTCTTTGTGTATTATGTGCCCGTCATTTTCTTCTTGGTTTATGCTCGTTTAAATGGGAAAATTGTCATGAAGGAGGAAACGGATGGGTATTCTTGTGCTTGGAAGCAGGATAGTTGGGTCCCTTGGTACTTTGCGCTTGCTATAGTTACAGCAATTTGGTCTACCGTGGTCATGGTTGAGGCCCAAGTTTATGTGATCTCTGGGACTGCGGCCCAGTGGTACTTTGCAAAGGAAGAAGGTTCAGCTCCACATCGGAGTATAAGGAGTTCTCTCAGGTGTGGTTCATCATGTAACTTTTTATCATTATTTGCTTCAATTTCTGTTGGAATGCTTCTTAGTTTGCTTTATAGTTTCTCTTATTAGATTCTCCTGCATTTTGTAACGCTTTACAACCAATCTCTTTGGGCATTTGTATTCCATGAAAAACACACACAAGCATATGATAGATTGCCCTTCAGTTCGTGCAAAAACATCTCATTTAAATGGGACAAAATGGTGAAAGACAAATACCTGTCCATGGAGAGATAAATATACCATAAACCTCACTCACAACATCAAAGTTGGCTACCTTTGCTTGGCCATACATGGCCTGGTAACACCAACTCAAGTGATTCCCAATCAATGTCAGATAGATTAGTCCCTGAAACTTTCTGAAATCTTATGAATTTCTAAGAGCTACACGCTTCAACCAAGAGGTGGATGTTGCTCTAGAGGAGCATCTCTGGGTGATCTTGCGTGGGATTACTGGTCAATATGATAGTTTGGCCTAGAGAGCAGATCCTCTCCTTGCAATATAAATTTTATACTCAATTTTGAATCCCCAAACCCATCTGCCCCAGCCTGCTCCCCACACTACAAACACAACACACAAACACCAAAAATGGAAAGTTAAGAATTAGTGTCAAATATGGTTTACATTAAATTAATTGAACTATATTTCTAATGAGAACAGCATAGCAACATGGTTATTTGGAAAAAGCAATATTTCCTTCACAGCTTTAGGATGTAAAGTTCGTGTAATATTTCAGTCATAGCAGAAACTGTGTATAGGTTTCTAGTGTGTGGGCAAGCAGAAAGTAAATTACTGGTCTGGCCCCTTGCTCCTTCTCTTCATGTTTTCTTTTCTCGAATGTAGAGGGGTTGGGGTTTCAAAGGTTTATCTATATAAGTTGGGCAAATGTAAAACCACCATGGTTGTGCACTTTTTTGACATATTCTATTTGATGTAGATGTCCTCCAACTTGTAGATGACAAATTATAACCATATGTACAATTGATCAAGTATTTTCCAAGGTAGTTGTGCTAAGGTTGATAAAGTAAATGATAGAACTTTCAGAAAACAATTGATAAGATAGAGTAACAAATGTATAAAGAATGATTGTAATGCCCATGTATAGGTTGTCATCTAACTATTTCCAACCTAATATATTACGGAATTTTTATTGCCAAAGGAGTTTGAAGAGCAAAAATGATACTGGTTGTATGGTTGGTATATACTGCAAATAGATAAGCTTTGTGCTTAGCATTTCCTAGTACTCCTCCAAAGAAGATCTTCAAGGTGTGAAGTTACATTTTCATTATTGTGTTAGGATTTTCTTTGATGGCCCTTGATCAACATTAGAAAAGATATCTATTGTTTTTGGTAATTTACGCACATAACCATTTTTCAATTCTTTTATTTTATACCTAAAATGCCCCTACTAGGGATTTGTTAGATCTGTAGCACTTTCTAGTGCTACAGATTTAACAAGTCCATAGTGGTTGATGCTGCTACGGACTTGTAGCGGTGGAGCTATGATACAAGCACCAGTTTGAAGCTTCTTGGAATCAAGGAGGCACTGAAATGGTGCTTGAATCACGACAGACGTTTTTGGTCTATAGTGGTGTCAATCGCTATGGATCTGTTAGATCTATAGCACGGTCCTTAGATCTATAGTGCTTGTCTGCTAACTGATCCATAACTGGGGCATTTTAAGTATAGAACACACAAGGAATAGTAGATATGTGCGTAAATTACAAAAAATTATTTGTTTTTATAATTTCAAAAAATTAGAGGGATATTAGCGATGATTTCCTTTCATTTATATGTTCTAATTTATTTTTGGTTGGTTGAAACCCAAAAGCAATCAATGGGTTTGCTCTTTGGTACGGGTGTGATGTAAATGCAGACTAGAAACAATGCTCCAATTTTAATTTCGTAAGCCCTATAACATTTAAGCAAGGAAACTTAGTGGATATGTTGAAAGCAATATATGCAAGAGACAAATTTTATGGTTACTATTTTAAACCCCAAATCATAAACAGGTCAACACATTAAAAATAACAAAAGAAAAATCAAAATCAGAAACACTATATTGCTGGACACTAATTCAAACATGCCAATGAGGGAGAGAGAGATAGAGAGAGGGAGGGAAAGATGGACAGAGAAGAATGAGAGAGAGAGAGTAGTTTGAGAGTCCAATTGACCCCACACACCTCTCATATCTTTTTTATATTAATGAACTATAAAAACGGGAAATAGTGCCCATACAAACTGAAAATAGGACATATAGGTCCTAATAACTTGAATGAGAGAGAAATAATAATAAAAAAGCGACTTCTAACACTCTCCCTCAAGCTGGAGCATAAATGTCACCCATGCCCAGCTTGGAAAAACTCGTTTGGAACATATTACAACCAAGGGCTTTTGTTAAGATGTCTGCCAATTGATCCTTAGATTTCACTTACAGATTAAACACTTGCTTAGTAGTAACCTTCTTCCAAATAATGTGACAATCTACTTCAATATGCTTGGTTCTATCATGAAACACTAGATTGCTAGCTCTATAGATTGTGGCTTTATTATCGGTATACATCTTCATAAGCTCAGCAATAGTAAACCCTGTGTCCTACATTAGTGTAATCATCCGCATCAATTCAAATGTAGTATGTTGCATTGTTTTATACTCAACATCTACACTAGATCTGGCCCCAACATTTTGTTTTGTACTTCTCTATATAACTAGATTTCCACAATAAATGTATAATAGCTTGTGATAGACTGCCTGCCAGATGGAGAACCTGCCCAATAAGCATTTGAGTAACTCTTAATGGGAAAATGACTGTTTGTCTTGTAAATCTGACCTCGACCTAAAGCTTCCTTCAAATACCTCAAAATTTTATGAACAACATCACAGGGAGGAATCCTGAGAGAGTGCATAAACTGGCTCATGACATTCTTGCAAAAGCAATATCAAGCCTAGTGGTGGTCAGATAAATCAGCCTGCCTACCAGTCTTCTATACCTTCCTGGATCCTTAAACAACTCCCCATTATCAGCCTATAATTTTTTTTTTTGAATCCATAGGAGTAACTTTGGTTTAGCACCGAACCTGCTATTTTTTGTCAATAAATCACTCTCGTACTTTCTTTGAGACAAGCTAATGCCGTGCTTTGATTTGGCTACCTCAGTTCCTATAAAATATCTTAGCTGGTCCAAGTCCTCTGTCTGAACTTATTGTTTTAGATGTCTCTCCAAAATGGCTGATTCCTTCTTGATCATTGAATATAATGACAATATCATCAACATAAACAACTAAGACATTTCCCGGAGTCCTATTTCCAAATAAACATTAAATGATCTGCATAGATGTGTCGAAGTCCATATGCCACATCAATTTCACTAAATTTCTCAAACTAGGCATATGGGGATTGCTTCAGACTGTAAATGGCTTTTTCCAACTTACATGACCTGTCTAACTCCCTTTAAGCAATAAATCAAAGTGGTTGCTCCATATACATCTTTTCTTGTAAATCATCGCAGAGGAAGGCATTCTTGACTTTAAACCTCCTTATTGACCAGCCCTTGTTTGCAGCTACAAATATGACCTCTCCAATTGAATTAAGTTTAGTAACAAGAGCAAAAGTTTCAGAGTTATCAATGCCAAAGGTTTGGGTGTATCCTTTGGCAACCAATCTGGTATTAAATCTCTCGGCGGTGCCATTAGGCTGTTTTTTTATACATAAACCCAACGACAGCTAACAGTCCTTTTTTCAACTTGTAACTTAGTTACGTCCTAGTGAGTGCATATATTTTCTCTTCTGTTGTTTTCTTTCATCCAGTATGAGAAATTGCTTTTTGAAAATACTTAGGGATAGAAATAGATGAAAGACCTAAAGCAAAACTTTGAACTTTGATAGGCTGGAGACAAATTTTTATAGGTAAGAAAATGAGTAATGGAGTGCTGAGTAGAAGACCTTATACCTTTATGGATAATGATACTTATATTATCATCTCCAAAAACAAAATATGAGTTAGAAGCGGGAAGTGGATTTGTAGGCGAAGATGATGACTGTGTGACTGAGTTGGTGGAGGGTGTCCATCCTACACAGTCCTCATGGAAACTTTTACGGGCTGCTCCTTAGGGACATTATAATACGTAGAAGTAATAGGGTTGGGAGGTCTAGGTGATTGTGTTGAAAAAAAAAGTATCAAGATCAATAGGAAGTGGAATTATGGAAGATGAGGACTCTGTGACTTCTGCTAGGGCAGGATAAAATAAATTTGCAATCAAGCATATGACCCTCTTTTGAAAAATATGGAGTAGATTCTTAAAAAAGGTAACATTATCACAAATAATTTTTTTTCGTATACTAGGAGGATAGCAACGATAACCTTTCTGGAAGCATGAACACCCCCAAAAACCCACACTTGACATCTCAAGGATCTAACTTATCATTACTAGTACCTAATACATGAACAATGCAAACACACCCAAACACTTGAAGAGGAATAACAAACAGTGGAGTATCAGGAAAGAGAATATATTGGTGTTTTTCTATTCAAAACATAAGGGAGCATATGATTAATTAAATAACATGAGGTTAGCAAGGCAACTTCTGGAACATGCATATTAATTAATAGAGTGCAGGTTACTTCAAGTAAATATTAAACTTTTCTTTCTACAACCCTATTTTGTTAAGAACTATGCACACAAGAAGTTTGATGTAAAATTCCATTTTGAGCAAAATAATTTCGAAATTCTATAGAAAGATGTGCTTTGCTACTTTAGAGCACAATTACTCAGCAAAACACTCTTCCGTTGAATTGTGTGTAGCTTTCCCTACTTATAGTCACAACCATGAATATCTCGTGCGACAACTGTTTAAGGGATTTTCAATATCTGCCTCATAAGCTTTGGATCTTGAAAATTTTCCCAATTTCGGACCCATAGATTTACAGAAGACAAAATCTAAAATTAAACCCCGTATCTAGGCTCAGAAGCCATGTCAAATGA